CAACACAGTTGTTATATAATGCGTATTCATGGTGTTTGCTGTACTACACTACCCATATTCTCAGCTATCACACCCTATTCAGAGACCACCCCTATAAAAGACCATTAATGGCCGGAACTGTCGGTGGTTTGTTGGAGAATTTTCGCAATAAAAATGGTCTCCAAATTCCTTCTGTCTTCTGTGAACTTCATATTCGTTTATTGCAACATTCCTTTTCATTGTGTCTTACTCACCTTGTGAACGAATGAACGCAAACAAAGAATCGCGTGACGGTCGAACGAGAGTCAGTTGGCAGCAATGTGTATTCGTGTGTGAGGAGTAGCACATTTTTGTCATGGCCAACTTTGATTCGCCTTGGGTTCAAATATTGACTAGGCTAATTAGAAACAGCGGAATACATTTCATCATATATTTATTTAATTCGCCGTAAATCGCTTATTATCGATCTGGTTGGTTTTGCAGATCGANAGTGAAGAGTGAGGTGGATGAGTGTATGCACTGTAAGACGGCTGGAATAAATCATGGACATGAATCAGTGCAACAGGACGCTAAAATATAACTTTTTTAATTCGCTTAGTGGGGGGGGGNTTAATTCGCGTGGGGGGGGGGGAGTCGAACTGGGTCCACTCGGCACGGCGGCCACTGATTGGCCTATTGTAGCCTGCCCCGGGTGATTATGATGATGGAAAATTTGGTGAAATGAAGAAATCGGAGTACTCGGAGTAAACCCGCCCCAGCGCCACTTTGTCCACCACAAATCCCACTTGACCAGACCCGGGATCGAACCCGGGCCGCCGCGGTGGGAAGCCAGCGACTAACCGCTTGAGCTATGGCGCGGCCGTGTTTCCCACTTAATACCAACATTTCATAAACGCTTGAATCTCCTCTAATTATATTTCAATGCGGATGGTGCTATGTTATTTCTTCCTTCTTGTGTGGGATGTGCTTTTAGTTGAGATGTGTGTTCAGTAAGAGGGTAGGCTGAGCTAATGGAACGGAGTCGCTGCGGGCAGTTGGAGTGGATTACTTGAGTCTTCTCTCTCGGAATATATTCGATTTGCCCCACAATTCGCACAGAGCGGACTTCGCTGTTAGGCTGACAGGAAGTGAATTAAATGTTACGATTTCTAGCCGTAGATCCAGTCTGCATGCAGTGATAAGTGATCGTCCCTACGAAGTTTTAAATTATTCTAAATTCCTGAATTCAGTACTTACCTCACAGGAGACATATAACATCACCGTTACAAAGACTATCCCGTTAATGCTGTTTAGGGACATAATCACTGTTTATTGTGAGAATCGTATGGAACATATAAATACACTGTGTGGGCAAAATGCGGAGTTTTCTGAATATAAACCAGGTTCTGTAAGTTAAATGGTTTAGGAGAGTTCTAGGTTCACATAGCCTTATATATATAGTCACCTGTTAGACTGACTCTCGACGGGGTTTTAGATTGGAGATGGATTTAGTGACCACTTTAACACACTACTAATAATTACACTTCATTATAGCGCCTTCGCTGACTTCTACACTTTACAAATCACTTCAACACACGCTAAATCTTTTCAGTCTGATGCAATCTCCACTAGTCTTTCCCTGGTAACGGCTTCTAACAGTGGGGATTCTTCAACTGCACCGACAAAATCTTCTCTTTACGGGTTCCCTTACAAATGACCATTGACATCTGACGACTAACTTCTAAACTTATTTCGGTTATAATATCTCGACACTGACTTAGTAGAAAACGCCGTTCTTTATTGTACTCAAATCGTTTGCGTAGGAACGTGTTTGTTTGCGAAGGCGTTAACCAGTAACGATTACGTATACTTGCTTATTAAGAATCTGTTACCTAGCAGTGGATGTTGTTTCGAGGTAGTTTCCCAGTAACGAGGCTACACGTGGATTGTGCTGCATCTATTAATAGATAGTAATTGCTGGTGAGTTAGAATAACAGCGAATAGAAAATACAGCCGATTTGTGACATCGACATCAAATTGCGCATCATATCCGTAAAGAACGAAAACGGGGTTTGCTCACTAAATTTTGTTTAATTAACCCCGAAATCCATGGGATAGGCGGGAAAAGTGGCATAAACTGCGCGTTTTATTTTTGTGTACAACATTCACTGGAAACCTGTTTCGCCCCCGACAACTATTTAGCGAGTTAACGCTCAAGATGAGGGCAGAAACGCGCCTAGGCCTTCATGTGGCGCTACCCATTTTAACCCAAACTGGAATTTGTCGATTCACTTTAGAAAACTCCCCAATGCACAAACTTTACGAAAATCCGTTAGGCGTTTCTCTTGTTCTTTCATTTTGGACAGACAAACATGAAGGAAATAATAAACGCATTTTTGCGACTTCTCGTTGGGAATGCGCTACTCTATAACCTGCTGAGGGTATACAAAGTTTTGTGTTGAGCAAACTAAGCGTTATTGTGTGAACTGGGGGCTGAACAGCCCTGAAGCCACTCCCTGGAGACTGTCCCGAGTGGACTCCACCCCACCCCCTTTCTCTGTTCCCCCATGTGACAGTCCCAGCAGCAGCGAGTCACGTCAGGTCTTAAGAGCGTAGATAAGACAGCATGGCGCTACCGGCAGGGCACGTCCTTACCGGGCGAACATCACCCTGCAAAACTGGAAAAACTGAAACACCTTCTTATTTTCAGCCTACCTAAAGCACGCCGTCACAAGCTCCAGCTGTATACCTTCAAATGGTAGAGCGAGTAGTCAATAATGAATGGGAAAGGATGTGGAAGGAAACGGTCATTGTCTGATTTTAGTTACAATCCTGGCATTTATCTCTAGGTACTAACAATATCCCACAGTCTCCAAGCGTTAAATATCTCGGAATCCATATGGATAGTAGACTCACTTGGAAAGACCACGTAATCAAAAAACGCAAACAGAAAGACCTGAAAACCAAGGAGCTAAACTGGTTAATTGAAAGAAGATCCAACCTATCCATAGAAAACAAAGTCCTGCTTTATAAGACAATAATCAAACCAATCTGGGCTTACGGAATTGAGCTCTGGGGTTGTGCCAGCAAATCAAATACATATATCAATAATCCAGAGAAGCCAGTCAAAAATACTTATAATTATAACAAATGCACCCTGGTATGTAAACAACCAAACGTTACATACAGATCTAAATATACCATGCATCAAGGACGTCATCAGAGGAAAAAGTACCTCACACCACAACAAACTAGCAAATCACCCAAACAACATACTACAGCCACTCGTTGAACCGCAGCACAATCGAAGACTCCGAAGATACTGGCCCGCTGACCTGAAAGAAAACTAAGAGGAACCTCCCACTGGGGAAGGGACTCATCACGTCATAAAGAGCATCACAGCTCTTACGCCAGCAAACTAGCTTATAGAATTGTAGATTCTGATTGCTTAATAAATACGTAAAAAAAAATCTCGAGGTATTGAGGAAAACAGATTGAAACTTCTGTGAGAATAGTCAAGAAGCGTTACCGCCTGAGCCATTTGGTCGTGACTCCGTGCAGTCTGATAGCCCGGTGCCCTGCAGATGGGGCCGTATGCTCTATAAGACGCTGTGATTACCGTCCCTGACGGCGTGAATTCACAGGCCTCGTCTGCGGCTTGTGCTGGTTCTTCCTCCGAACTGGAGCATCTGACCAGTTCTGAAAAGCTGTTTCCATTCCTCCATTGTAGTGTGGCTGTCATCGTGGCTCCGGCTTCCTTCATTCTCCCCAGACAAGTTCCGGGAAAACAAGCTTACTTGATCACAGAGTGGCCCGGAACTGACGCCTTCACATGTACGTCAGTCAGTCATCCTCATATTCGTCCCGCTCAAAACCTGGAATTTGTACATTTATGTCACTTTAGCATGGAATTTCGACGTCGATCGGTTCTGAATTCTGCTGAAGTGCAAACGGCGCCATCAGCGCCGCGTTGCCACACTTAACTGCGCAACAAATATTTTATGGAGAATCTGTTCATTGTTGCATTTAATTGCAGGCTATATTACTCCGAGACGGGGGAAACGGTAGTCTAACGCATTAATGGGCTACTTTGATGTCTGCGGCTTCAGGACTACTGGCCCTGCTCTGACGCGTCATGGCTTCGCGGCAATATACGTGCGAGCAATTTCTTGACCAGCCGAGAGACCAGCAGCTGTTCGTTTCATGCAAGGCGTATAACTTCAAACATAGCTGGGATGTCTCAGTCGGTCAAGTGACTGCCTAAATTTGGACGGTCGGGGTTCTGTTCCTGGTAGGGGAAAAAGATTTTTCTTTTCTCCACCGCGTCCAGACAGGTTCTGGGGCACCACCTATTTCGTGGGTGTGAGGATGGGGGTAAAAGCAATCAGGGCGTGAAGCTAACTCCTTACCCTCATCCATTGCCTAGGTCAGTAATGAGTAGGGTCTCCTGCGAACGCCTTCCTGGCTTGGTTCTTAACACCAGCACTTGACACGCTGTTTTGAAATGAAATACAGTAAACTCTCACTAGTCCGGATTAACCAGGGGAGAAGTCATCCGGATAAGCGATAATCTGGATTAATGAAGCAAAAATAGTCCTAAAAGAAGAAAATCTTAGAAAAAAAAAATTGAAAATGTATTATGTAGGTAGTTTTGCTGAAAATAAATACAAAACATTGCATCAATTTCTTCCTCTGTCAGAAGCTGAAATCCATGGTCTCATTCATAGAGTTGAAGCCAGTCTTGGATATTTTCTTGCGTGGTTTCAGTCTCTCCTGCTGCCCTCAACACGTTCTGAAAGTCCTCTTGCTTTTATCCCTCTTGGTCCTAAATCCCATTTGTCTTTTTAAGTAAGCAACTGTGAAGAAAAAAATCACTATTCATATTTCGATCTGGATTATCCGACACACGGATTAACTGCAACCGGATTGGCGAGTGTTTGCTGTAAATAAGTTTGGTGTTTCAAAGTGACTCGACACTGTTGTTCTCCGAACTTGGTGTGTTCCAAGCCACTGAACATTCTGTTTTGTTTTTCCTATTGCAGACTGTGGCTAACTACATTGGGGCCACCCGGACCCTAGAGTATATTCCGGAAACGAAGATATACTGGGCAGGGGGCCGAACCGATCCCCCACCTGACACACCCACGTGTGGTTTCGACAACTCCCTGTGCCCCGACAATTGTAAGTTGTTTGATTTTCATTATTGGACCATGCGTGCAACTGGGAACCAGAGGTCAATGTTCTCAGTAACATAACGTGCTTATCAGTTTTATTTTAGTGTACGTAATGTAGGTAAGCGCCGGTCACAGTAGGTGGGCGTCTAAGACATGGGTTCGAATCCCCCTTAGGCCATGGATGTTTGGTGTGTGCGTCCATGCGTTTATTCTGTGCCTGTGTTGTCCTGTGTTTAGGTAGAGGCCTTGTGACGAACTGATCACTCGCCCAAGGAGTCCTACCGTCTGTGAAAAAGGATTACGAAACTGAATAAGAGGCCAGGGCCCTGAATGGGCTGGAAGAGCGATTGAAAAAAAATGTAGATAAGCGAATGTGACCGGAGGTGTTGGGAACTACATTTCGAGCTCTCTAGCAAATTCACGGACTGTGAGGACTGAAATACTCAACAGAGTTTTCTTTTATTGCTAGTGGGGTGGGACTAAGTCCCTTGTACTGCGGCCACTTCTGGCCTATTGTACCAGCCCCAGATGATAGGTGAGGGTGATTGTGAAGCAATTGGTGGAATGAAGATTGGCAGGGGAAACCGAAGTACTCGGAGAAAACCTGCCCCAGCGCCACTTTGTCCACCACGAATCCCACTTGACCAGACCCGGGAAGCCAGCGACTAACCGCTTGAGCTATGGCGCGACCTTCCAGCAGAGTTAGTGCAGACGAGAAGTTGCAAGAGGCAGGTCCTCCTGAGTCATTACGTGTTTCTGTGGCGCCACTGAATGTTACGCCCTTGTCTGTTTCAGCCCTCCCAGGATACGCCATTCTCAGTATAGTGCTCAGCTCTGTGGTCGTGTTTCTGGTCATTGCGTCTGTGTTCATTTACCGGTAAGTGAGAATTGTGTCGTCCCGTGTTTAATTGCTTCCTTCTCACGTAAGGTGCAGAAACATTAGCACAAAGAACGAATTAGATTCTGAAGCGTTCTGACGATGATGTGTGACTCTCAGAATTACTGCGTTTTTGGACTTTGTCCATCGTCCCGTATTCTAAAAACGCAACTTTTCGGAAACTTAGCTTTTTCTAAGCGACCCAACAGAGTAGATGTCTTCCCCCTCACCTGAGGATGGAAACAGATCAAGTTACCGAAACACTATATTCTCTAGTTCAGGCATGTCCTGTCTTCCCCCTCACCTGAGGATGGAAACAGATCAAGTTACCGAAACACTATATTCTCTAGTTCAGGCATGTCCAACTTCAAACAGGTTGTGATGGACTTTTTAGTGTCAAAACTGCCAGTTATCTACCACTCCCTCATATCATCGTACCTCGCTTTAAGCAAAAATATTGGTAAAAATAATATGACACATGATGTTTGTTGTAAAAGCAACTTACATTGAAAGTAAACACTTACCTTGTTCGTTATGAACAGAAAAATATGAATGATTAATAAGTATTTTCCCTTCAAAATCTGAATATAATCATATTATATTACTAGTGAATTTACATGCTTTTCACGTATAATTTCCTTATAGACCTATGAGATCGACCAAAAATCATCCCACGATCGACGAGATGGACATGCCTGCTCTAGTTTATAGAATACATGACGATGCCCAAAGTCCAGAAACCTAGTAATGCTGAAAGAATGAATTGTTTGACTAGTACCGTAAGGGGGGGGGGCAATAATAAAGGATGTGTGCCAAATGAGGATACAAATCTAACAACATCAACTCAAAGGAGCAAAGCCCTTTTTGAGAAGCTCGTCAGTAAGCTTCCTCCTTTTATGGAATCCTAAGGTTCATTACCATGTTCGCAACAGCCAACCACGTGACCAGCTCACGTCAAAACAGCCTGTACCACTTAACAGCCACCGTAATATTAACTTTTTCACATGCCATGCTCTTTCATATTTATTGAATTAAGTGTTTTGTTGTAAATTTGTCGTCTGTCTCATGCGTGCTACATAACAAACGTCATTATTTGATATTCTTGTGGTACTGAGTGGAGAGTGGAAATTATGATTCTCCTCGTTACGTAACTGCATTCATCCTCACCCCCCCCCTTCTAAATGGGATATTCTCCCCAGGGTAGACGACGCCATTGATCATGTATCATTAAGTGTTTTGAGCTGTGACATCTGTTGCGTTTCATCAAATATTTTATTCTGTCGCCGCCAGAACTTGAAAGTGTGCTTATAAACACGTTAGGCTTTGTATCGTAGAGCTGTGCATTTTCTTGTAAAATAAAGAGTTTATACCATTAATGGTTCTTTCGTTCGATGTTTATCTTAATGTCGAGGGGATGGGACAATATTACAGTACTGAAGATCTCTCATACTCTCAGCAGTAATTTGCTGCTGGTCTTCGCCAGCACAGTCATTCTTCGTTTCGGGACCGAATGGAGAACACAGGAAGACATTATAAAATTTACTCTTGCCAGTATGTACGGTAGCGATATGCAAGTGTTTTCGGATGCGAATCCAATCCGAATTCCAGTTTCTTTTTTTCAGTTGCACAGGTGAAATTAGTTTCAGTATTATCCTTGCCTAGAAATTCTGGTGCCCTCTATGTTACGGTAGCCGGTCACGGTAGCCGAGCGGTCTAAGGCATGTACTGTTTTCGCTCGCTTGGAAACCAGGATCGTGGATTCGAATCCCACTCAGGGCATGGATGTTTAGTTTGTGTGTGTGCGTTTTTCTGTGTTTGTATACAGGTAGAGGCCTTGCGACGAGCTGATCACCCGCCCAAGGAGTCCTACCGAACGTGTAAGATCTAGAAAAACCGAAGTGAACGGAGAAGTTCATGGAGGTAGGCCTAGACCCACTGGGGCTGTAGTGCCAAGGGGAAAAAAAAAATATATTACGATAATGGAAAAGAAAGCGGTCATCTCTCTGGCAAGAACGGAGGGCCTGCCTTTCAGCTAACCTGTAAAAAATTGCGACAAACTGATCTGCTTACTTAGAAACTAGAAGAGAATGTGATGTGTACGCTTCCTTTCGCCCTGAACTCTGTCTGGAGCACATCTGAGGCGGCTTCTTCAGCAGGTAGTTACGTAGATGGGCCACGTCATCAGTATGAAGTAATTACATTCTGTTTTCAATACAAGTCGGGAACTGAAATCGCCACACCCGAGATTTCGATATGCACACAGAACTTTCCTTCTAACTCGAGGTGTGCCCTTTCTGGACGGGGTTTCCTGCTGATCGGGTAGCCGCATTCCGCCCCTTCATTCGCTGGTTGCAACTTCTGTATCGATTTTACACCGATTTCCGCTCGCTGGTTCTTCTGTTCGCCGCTGAACAAATCGAGAAGAAGGAATTGCAAATAGACGGAAACTTCATCACAAAATGGTGTATCTTTCCATTCGTTAACTCGATATAACTCAGTGGTAAGTATATGTACCGCTTCCTTTAGCGTTAAAAAGCTTCACTCCCCCCCCCCCCATACCTTTATGGAGCTGTGTGATGTAGGCTCGATACAAATATGTTAGAATTGTTATGAGAATGTTTGCATGTGAAGGTTCATGCCTTAGTACCCAAGATGATATGGCCACGTGGAGCTTGATTTCACTAGTACATTAAGGCGACATAACTCAGCGATCATTTAATTTGAAGGGGAACATAAGTGCTGTCTGATGGATTGTTTGTCGACGTTTTGCCGACTTGACGCTCCGACACTTAACGCCTCGATTGAGTAGCCTCATTTGATTCAGTTGAACTTCTTTCTCTTTTTCGTTCCAAATTGCGCTTTACAAACGATTCTCCGAGAGAGTTTTAAAGCTTAGTCTTGCTTAAGGAACATCCTATCAATTGAGTAACTTTAAATTAAGTCTCGGATGCAGACACTGAGGAGGGATGAACTGAATGTGCATTGAAGTAGTTGAGAGTTACCTCATTATTTCACGAGAACTTGTTTGTCCTCCTTCTGTCCTGTTGGAGGATTTCGAAGAAGGTTGGAACGAGAGCATAGCGACATGTAAAGATTGCTATGTTGAGGAATGTGACATCGTGTAGTCTAGTAGTTGAGTATAAGGGTTAGAAGGGACTTGTTTCCATGTTCAGTATAGAAGAGTCCGTTCTACCCTGAAAACAGACGCAACAGTTTCCTTCGAAACGTTGATACACTCTTCTGCCCTGAAGATGGAGGCGGTAGGTTCATCAGAAACTTAGGTACCTATCTACCGAACTACGTAGTGTCATCCCAGAGGACCGTAATCTTCATTGGATTGACAATTCTTAGTTTCCGGAAGCCTGACGTTTCTTGACAGTAGTTCCTGGACCGAACGACTGGAAGATGTATTGACGCAGAAGTTTCAAGTACGGACCTTATTTTCTCATGCTGCTGTTCCCTTCTCTGCTCTTCGTGACGAAATTGTAAGTCGTTTCTAAGTGTGCTTCTGCTCACAAAGTGTTGCGGAACTTCATCATTCACTTTAATTGAGAACTTCATCCTTTCATAAATATTGTCACATGTCTCAGTGACTTGCAGACGGGATTTGGATTGTTCAGTTGGTTTATGTGATACTCACAAGTCGTAACTACAAAGAACTATAACACTCTAAAGGTTACTATAACACATAAATAAAAACTTCGTCTGCTTACACTAGTCGTTACTAGGTAACAGATCACAACAATGGTTAGGCCTTTACATTGTCTTCACTCTCCGTTTCCAGGCAACGGATTTTAACACAGAAACCATAACTTCGAAACTCTATGAAGTCTTCTTGCCATTTCTTGTTCAATCACCTTGGAATGCTGACCCTCCAGAACTCGACCCAATTTTCCAATGTTAATTCTCTCTCTCTAAAATTCGCTGTAGGACTGGAAGCTCCTGGTCCGAATTCTCAATTCCCCTCCTACCAAGTCCAAGTCCAAGTCACATTGCGACTGACGGTCAGTCAGTCAGTAAATCTTGGTGTCGAGCCACATCTAGGGCTCATAACCAGATATTTATTACTCTTTGGCATTTACGGTCTTGTTTTTGTGGAGCGCCCTCTCTGACGAGAGGACGGGTCTGCTTTTTGTATATGCTGCTGGCCCTCGCCAGTGCAGTCATTCTCGGGTCTGAGTCCGTTGGGACTCGCGACAATATTTTACTGTCCCAGATTTGAGACTTCCCTTTTCGTCGCCTCCTACGACTCGCAGGGTCATGGTGGAGGTATTCGACCCCGCCTCCACACGTGGGTTGGTCGAATCCGAAGTCGAAGTCACATTGCGACTGATGGTAAGTCAGACAGTAAGTCTTGGTATCCAGCCCCTTACTGTTTGAAATTTACGGTCTTGTTTTTGTGGGGCGCCCTCTCTGACGAGGGGGCGGGTCTGTCTTCTATATATGCTGCTGGCCCTTGCCAGCGCAGTTTTCCTCGCGTCCATGTCCCTTGACACTCGCGACCACATTTTACTGTCTCAGATTTGAGACTTCCCTTTTCATCGCCTCCTACGACTCGCAGGGTCATGGTGGAGGTATTCGACCCCGCCTCCATACGGGTGCTTCCATCCTACAGCTTACAGCTCTCGTCATATAGCCGCGCCACGGACCACATAGAAAACCTCTTCCATTATTGTAGAGAGGCGCATATAACACGATTGCCTAACAACCAATGTCGACGCTTATTGTTACAGCAGTGAACTTCCTATTGTTGTCATGTAATAATAAGGGAAGGCGTTTACCTGCCATCGCATACCAATACGTCACAATATTGTTTAACAATTTCTAACCTTGTATTACATCATTACTTCTTTCTTAAGGACCGTCGGACAATGAGACATCTAAACGTTGCCTCTTAACTCGATTGCTCTCGACTTGGAATCCAGTGAGGTGTAAACTTTAATGAATCAAGTTTCGTACCTGAGAGCGTGTGCGCGAACTGCCACAGAAAACATAACTTT